GTTAACGTTTCAACAGTTTACGCAACAGATTCTAATAACAAATTACTGTTCATACAATGATAATGATTGTTCATCGCTATGTCAACCGATTAATAAACTATCGATCGATACAATGTTGAGTTAAATTATTAATTTTTCTAAACGATCGTTATTTCATTTGAAACAAAATACTAGGAAGACAATGTGGGTAATAGTAAATATCGGAGATACCGGAGTCGGTTTATCGGCTACTCGAATTAGCCCACTTTCGAAGGAGTTTCGTAGGATGCAAATGGACTGACGTGAGTGAAAGGGGTTGTGAAAAGGCGTTAAAGGTTAAACCGCGCTAGATATCGTTCAGAAGGGAATAATTGGAAGCGTCTCGCTCGATTCGAAAACCACAGAATACATTTGGACGAACTCGTGGATGAGTGGCGAGCTTTCGAGTCTCTGGATACGTTCAGTAGAGTAGCACGGCAGAGCTCAACGAATCTCTGCCGGGTTTGGAATTTGCGCGTGGTTCGGGGGCTAGAGATATAGTAGCTGGAACCAACAATGGAACTGGGAGCTGTTAGAGAGAGAGTGAGAGAGAGAGAGGGAGAGAGAGAGAGAGGGAGAGATACTCGTGCATCGAGAGGACTCCGCAAGTGGTCCCACATTCCAGTAACGTCGAATCGACGATCGGCAAGAGTGCCAAGGGGTACAAGAGGGTGAGAGAACTCGAAATGCGAACGCTTATAGAGAAACGGGACAACGGGAAGAGACCACGAGTGCGGTTTCGCGCCACCGTGTGCATACCATTTCTCTCTCTCTCTCTCACTCTTTAGGTTTCATCATAATCCTTCTCTTTCTACCATACCGAGTTGATTGTAGTCTCTTTGGGCTAACGGATCGGCCAATTTTCGAGATATGTTAAGACCCTCCACAATGTTATCCTGTCGAAAGCTACCTTCTATCTCTCTTTACATTGGAATATGACACCACGAAGCGGACCTTTCGAAAGCGGTGCTGCGCGCATTATCAAGTCACCGAATCGTATTCCATGTTTCAATGCGTGCTTCCCAAAACCAAATTCTGATCCTTCCGAAGCTGGTAGAGTAATAGTATAGCGTTTAAGCTTTCGACTATTCGATAGGACTACACGAAGAACACGTCGTTTCATTTGCGGATATTTCAAGCTCGTTGTTACGTAGAATATATGGATACATAGACGCATAGATATGATGATGTTGGATTATGAGTTAATCGAGGAATCATTGACGTTTATTGTCTTCTATGTGTGATTCTCGTAATATCATTCGAGGATTGTGTTGGTACCCCACGAAAATCATTAGAAATAATATTATTTGACATAAGAAAAAAAAGGGATTGATAGTACAGGTTTTAGTTAACTAAAATAAAAGATTAATCGGGCAACAAAGGAAATAACCATATATTGCCGAATACTCGATGTAGAAAGAGTGCGAATGTATATAAGAAATGTTTTTCTCTCTTTACTCTTGGTAGTAGTTGGACATCGTTCGATCGAAGGAAAGAATCGGAAAGAAGAATGGAAGGTTCGCAAACGATCATTGATCGTCGAGAGTCAGAGCACGAATTTCGATCGAAACTGGGCGGCGACGACGACGAAGACGACGACGACGACGAGGAACCCTTTTACCCGTGCATGTTACCAATGTACGTCGATGAGAAAGAAAGAGATAGCGTTAGGGAGAAAGAGAAGTGGAAGAAGCGGCTTCGATGAACAGAGGGCCGTATTGTTTGTCGCAAGAGGCATTCCCCGATGTCGGCCGTCACCGGAAACATTCATTACAGCGCGTCCCCCGCCAGGAATCACTAATGTATTCGACGTCAACGACGTGGACGTGGACGTGGACGTGGACGTGGATGTTCGTCCTGTTGCCAAGCTTTCAAGGACCCACGGCGCTACGCGGAATCGGGAATTCATATTAGGATAAAAAAGTTCAGACCGCTGGACCCGGCAGAGAGCTCTTGTTACATGACAAAGAGAAAAAAGGATTAGAGAAACGCCTAAACTTTCGATCCTCCCTTTTCGCGTTCCTTTCCACGTTCCATCGTTTTAACTCGAATTTTGTTCGAACTCTTCGTCATCGTTACTTTCGTTTTCTTTCATTCACTCCTTCGCATTCAATTGCGAGATTATGCAAGAAAACTGGTTATGATTGTAAGTGAGCAATATAAAAAAAAAAAGAAAGAAAAAGAAAAAGAAACGAGTGCATTTCAAATAAGGGATAGGTATTTAAATATTCCAATATGTAGATGCGAATTTATGAAATAATTAAAAGTAGGCAATTTCAATCTTAACAACGTGTTATTTAATACACGTTTCGCGATAACTAAATCACGGAACTGTGATTATTTAAAGTACCTAATATGTAATATACATATCTCGAGAAAAATACATATTCATGAAGGAATCGAGCTAACGAGACGCAATTATCATGGAAAAATATTAATACTGTTTCTTTGCGTTACATTGCCATAATTACATATTGTTGCTAATGGTATCTTGATAACCCACGAATAGCATTTTGACTATATCTCGACAATGATCTTTTCATAACTCGTTCAAATATGGACTTGATAAGATTATTAATAAAAACTTACTGATTTATATATTCGAATATTATTCTTGGAATGATTCGTTCAATGAAATGAGATACGCAAAGAAAAAGTAGGTCACGACGCTAATAAAATATATTCATGATAAAAACAAATTCTTCATAAATAAAAGTATCCTTCTTAGGACTTAGAAAGTGTTATATACGTAAGATTTGAATGCAGTTCTTGGTAAGTTGTCGATCGATAATGTTTCAAGTATTACTTATAGTTTATTCGTTTATTCGTGCGCGCGGGCAAACGTACTCGGTATCATCCAATCGTCCTCGTTTTCGTCCTCGTTGTGTCGTAGCGCCTCGGCTGAAACCTCGTAAAACCAGAAACGACCAATTAAACGAAACGAGGAGAGCACTGATGCATTCTCTGGCTGGTTGCCTGCCTGCTTGCTTGCCTGCCGCCGGCATTACCTACAGGTTATACGACTCGCAGAATTACCCTCAAATTACACAGTTGGTACCGATGTGTGCACTTTGCCTTTTTCCTCTTCCTCTTCCTTTTCCTCTTCCTCTACCCTTCTCGTGTCCTGCCCTGCCTTTCTTTTTCGCGTATACTTACGCGTTGAAATAACAAACGACTCGCTAAGATACAACAATACTGGCCCAGCACCATCACCTCCGCAATTTTCCCTGTCATCTCTCCTGTCATCCCGTTTTTCTTTCCCTACGATCGAAATACGTGCGAATAAGAGAATGGGGAATGTGAAAGAGAAAGGGTGGAAACAAAAGAATGATCGCTCACTAGGGTGGTGCATACTCGTGTCGGTTAACTACTGATGAGTGATCAGTTACGAAGAAAGTGTGACGGTTACAATGAACATTTCGTACATTTCCGAGCACTTATTCTTCGATTTGGACTGGTCGATTTAACGGGAGAAGTCATAAAGCATGTTGAGCATGCTTCGAAAGACTCGACTTCGGTCGTTTCTCTTTGTCACGAAGAGAGGGAGATAAAAGATAGATATATAGGAATGGTACGAGGTGTTGCACACTTTTAGCAGTCTATTTTATATACCAATGAAATAATTTATTTGTTCACACATAGGATAATAATTTCAATGAAAAATATTTCCCCCCCCCCCCATTTAACATAACATTCTTTAAGGTGTATAAAAAGAAAACAAAAAAAAAAGAAAGAAAGATAAGGAATAAAAGTAAAGGAAAAGGATATATATCGTTTGCGTCATAAGGGATCTAAAGAGAAATTATTCATAATGTAATTTGTATAATAATCTATTTAATTCCATTGACAAACTATCTCGCTATTACTATGTTACGACAATTATTACAACCTAATGGGAAAAATATATACATATGTGTTTCTATCTTAATCCAAAAGCATTCAATTTAATATCATGACTTATGGCTCATTAATATATCATAAAATGAAATGAATGATATTAAATGCCTGCATGCTAAATAGGATCGTATTTCTTTGAAGATGGAGCAATGATGACGAAACGAGAACGAGCTGGTGGTGGTGGTGTTAGTGGTGATGTCGGGGAAATGATCGTTCATGCATATCGATTTAGTTATCTAAGGAAAATCGATCGACTCGATGATAACGCGTATGTGCAAATTACGATCAGCGTATCGGGGGAAAAATAGTACGGAGTTGAGGAAGTCATAAAGAAAAAGCAATGAGAGCACATTAACATGTCGAGCAATGGTGGTGGTGGTAGTAGTAGTAGTAGTAGTAGTAGTAGTAGTAGTAGTAGTAGTCGGCTGACTTTAATAGGATCGTCGATAAATCATCGTCGTCGCCCCTAACGGACGCATAAACTCCGACTCTCGTCGAGTCTTCACCGAGAGTAGCGATTAATTGTAGGTTTAATGATTCGTCGGTGCTAAAACGAGCCTCGTGTGCACGGCATAGTGTTCGTTCGAAACGAAAGAGGATATCCGCAGTAAGATGTATACATATTTACGTATGTATCTATTACGTGCGTATTGCATCTAAATTATGGTTTTTGATAGAAAGAAAGAGAGAGAGAGAGAAAGAGAGAAAGAGAGACAGATAGTGACAGGATAAATATGATATTTCAAAAAGTCTATAAAACTTGTACTTTTCAAACTAAGATAATCGTAGCAACCTATTATATATCGTTCCAATGTAGACATCTTTCATAATGTTTCTTGGTATATAGTAAGAAACTGAATATTCTTACGATGCCAACTACAATCGAGGACAATAGAATGATATTTATTATACTACATCGACTTCAGTTATCTAGTAGATGTGCAGACGCTCTGGAACGAGTAGTACGATTGCATGTTAAACAAAGTAACACGAGAGTATTGATATTTTATTTTTGAAATAAAATACGAGACGTGTCAAAGTCAAAAACTATTGCAAGAATTATGTATCTAAAGTAATGAGAAAATTTTAATAATAAGTGTAATTGTTTGATATCATACGTTTGAAAAATGATTCAATAGTGAACCCGTTGAAAAGTATTTGATTCTGTAGAATCGGTAGCACAGGTTTATCCAGTAAACCCCATAGTTAATACAGTTTACAAAACTCCGTTTGGTCGATGGGTTTTCTTGAAGCATCTCTCTATGTAGACGCTGGACATCGATCATTCCGCGAAGCTTTCACCATCATCGTCGTCGTCGTGATATCGCTTGTACACACCCGCTTACTTACACGTAGACACGTTAGTAGAATACGCATAAGAGAACGCATTCTACGTACATACGTACATACGTAGGATATACCTATGTATATATGAACGTAGGAAACGCGAGCAGAGGGTTTAATATTGCTAGCCGAGATAGAAGCAATAAATGCTTGTCAAGTAAATCAGGATGAAGCACCATCGAGGAGCGCGTAATGGCCGCATTAAGTGAATAACTCACGGTTGCAGTGTCAGAGCCCGGGCGCAGTGTGAAGTGTGCGTTGGACTGTTAGGAACGGTTAGGGGTGATAGCGATGCCATCAAACAGCTTTACGGCGTTAAGTGCTGCTGCTGAGACCGGTCGCTGAGGCATTACCAACCTAATTTCTGCCAAATACCAGGCGTATGTCTGAGCTCTGCCGTTTCGAGAAACTGCCGTCTAACCTCCTTCAGGATATTCTCATTTGATCTGTTAAATGTTAGAATGAGTACGGAGAACCGAAATCAATTTCTAACGAGATTTACAAGGAAATATATATATTTATTCTCATCTCTTTCTATTTTACCTATCCTTTCATTCGATGTCGTTTCAAAAGACGTAGCACATATGCATTACATTTCTATATCCCGTTCCTCTCCCCGCTTCACCATTCAAAACGCATTTCGATGTTTATGACGCGCTGGTAATGACTCGCGAATAGAGTAACGTAATCAGCAAAGTCCCGGTGAAATTACGCTAAAGAAAAATATTATTTAAAAAAGATGCAATAAAATTCGAGGATATGCGTAGAATAATTTTTTTTAGAATTCACGTATACATATATATATACTTTAGTTCGTTAAACTGAAATTGTTTTCAAAGAAATACATATTTCACGTATTTTAGCTCGATATTTCTATTAGAATTCTACAAATTCGCCGGTGTCGCATAAATTACACGGGATCAAGTGATTCGATTAAAATAAATTACGTCGATTGGTTTAAATCCATTACGTTAGCACAATTATTTAAGTGACTTTCTTAAAATCTATTATTTTTATCTAACTATAAGATCATTCTCTCAATTCGCTAGAAAATTTTCGTATATCATTAAATAATGTAGTAGAAAAGTGTCTTCAGTGCTTAAATATTTAAAAACGTTTGAACGATAGCGAATGAATTCGCGGTTGAATTTATGATCGGTGGAGTGGAAAATATTTCCACTCGCTCAATTTTTCCTTTCATTCAATGTTAAAAACGAAAATAGTTGTGTGGAAATAGTCGAAAATTTTCGATTCGTTTATTTCGGATAGGTGCACGCACAGATTCGCGAGAAGGACACTATCTGCGTTCACCCTTTTGGATTCGTCTTTTCACCTTTGTCCGGCTCTTTTCTTCTCTTCTTTCCTTTTATGGCGTATTTTATGGTGTAGTCGGCGAACGACTGTGAGTATCATCGCTTGTTTCCCTTCGTGTTGTTTCATATATTCTCATTGGAATAAGCCATCTTGCAATGTTAGTCGGGGTGTGCTGGCTAACACATGTAACTTTTTGCGTTTGTATCGTCGTTGTATTCTTTTCCTTTTTCTTTTCTTCTTCTTCCTCTTTTTCTTCTCCTTCTTAACGCCGTTGTCGTTATTGGCTGCTATCTGTACTTGCAAGATAAGGTTTCCTTCGTGGAAATTCAGCATCGTTTCTGAGTACATTACAGACTATCGAATACCTACTTACCCCTTCGTTCGAGTGCACTCACCGTTCTTCTTCTTCTTCTTCTTCTTCTTCTTTCCTCTTTTGCGCGTCTTCATATCGGTTTCTCCTTATAAAAGGAAAACATGATTTCTAAAAGGCAAACATGATTAACGAGGCAATAAATGACGAGACTTTTATTTCTTTTTCTTTTTATATATATATTCCAATACGAAAAGAATATTTTTCTAAAGATGTTACCGTTTAATTTTACAGATACATAAGTATAATGAAAAAAAAAGAAAAGAGAGAAATAAAACATATATATATATAAACGAATGCTTGTGTTAACGATATTTTATTTACTTTCATTTCAGTTAGGTACTCCGTGAGTTTCATTTGAAACATTTATTGGCACTCCTTTAAGACGTCTTAACGTTTTATCTTATTTTTCATTCCGATAGTTCAGTCATCGTTTAACGTTACCAACGTATTAATCTGTCGTAACAGGTTACCTTATATCGCGATTGGAATTTATATACGAATTCTCTTTTTCCGTAATATTACGATAGATATGAAATTTTCTTCGCGCGTATATCAACTTAAGGTTTTACCGTTCTTTTTTAAAATCCTCTTAATGTCTACATTCCGATGCAATAATGGGAATATTCCATCGAATTTATGCAGCCTCCGTGTCACGTTATTGAGATATTTTTACACGCTCGTTAATATTTCCCATAACCGATATCAACATCTTACATACATTTCTTTTGTTTTTTTTTTTTTATTAATTTGCGTTTAAAATGATAAAATGTAAGATAAAATATTGTAATAATTACATAAGAGGTTTTTTTCCGAACAGATGAGAAAATACGTAATAAGTATATAATAATATATTACATTTGGTATAGAAAGTAGAAAATTCGAAAGGGTGTGTAGATGAAAAAAAAAAAAAAGAAAAAGAGCACAAAAGTATATTAGCAGGAAGAGATAGGTTCACTTAAATATTGGCAAACGCATGCGTGCAGTTACACGCAATAACGCGTTCTACGTTCTTAAAGTAATAAATTTCCTAGAGAAAGATCACCGAGTTTAGATTAAAAACGATTCGTTACTCTACGAAACACTACCACCACCATCACCACCAACTAACCATAGGTCGTTCAAGAAAAATTTGAATAATATCGAACATTAGCGAGCAACGTGGGTTTACACGAAAGCCAGTCAGCCAGTCAGCCGCTAGGATGTTGCATCGAGTCGCATCGTTCTTATACTTCCATTATACTTTTTTTATTTTTTCTTATTTTCCCCGTTCCATTTCTTATCCTCTCGTCGGTCTTTCCTCTCTTTCCTGCTTTCGTTCAATCCCCGTTCCCTGCCGCCGCCCCAACTGCCTCGTGGTATCAGTGACACGGAAAACATGGCAGTTCGACGGCGCGCAGAGAGAAGTCGATGTAGCAGGAAAACAAGCGTAAGAGCGCAGGAACCGTGGAATATATTTATAGCCGCCTCGAGCTATTAAGATAATTTATCGGGGCCATTACCGAACAAACGAGAGCATTAATCTATTCTAGCTTCATAAAGAGAACTTCGTCGACGATTTTGTAGCCCGCGCGCCAAACGAGCACTTCGGAGTAAATTGATGGATCCCCCTGACCTGACGGAGGACCCTCCGTAAATTGCTCGTAAATTTTTATTTATTCCACCACAAATAAAAGTCTCTCGTAAGAGAAGTGAGTGAGAAAGAGAGAAGGAAAAAAGAGTGGTGGGGTGGAGGGAGGGGTTTGAGGAGGAGAAGAAGAAGAAGGAAGAAAGAAAGGAAGGAGGGGTAAAAGATGGTTCTTGGACTCCTGCTAGGACGATTCTCATAGAGTGCACGCATACGCACGCACACGTATTAGCTCTCTCTTTTTCTATCTTTTTTCTTCGTAGATCTGTCTGGTGGAGTTCGTCGATCGACGATCGTTAATAGAAGTCCGAGGGTTCTCATCCATCGCGAGTTCTCTTTCTCTCTCTCTCTGTTTGGCATGACACCTCGACTTTACGATTCTTCGATATTTATGTCGAGCGTCGGGTCGCCCCTGTCTTCCGTTTGAAACGTACTTTATGCGATCCTCTAGCGCAGCAGCCGTCGTTTTAACGAACTTTACGAGCGAAATGTGTCTGGAATGTATAACTATAATATTATAACGCTGTAAGCTCGGATCCACCGTAACAGTAGTAGGTTGCCAAGATAATTTGGCGATGAAACGATGCGTCGGATATCTCTTTCCTTCGATAGGGAAGGGATGGGGGAAGGAGGAGGAGGGAAGAAGAAGAAAGGTGAGGATCGCAATAAAATCGTCATCCTTGATCTCTTTCTTAAGAGATTAGCTATTGAATCTTCCTAACGAAGTCGTCGTCGAGAGCCAAACAGTTAGGGAGAGAGAGAGAGAGAGAGAGAGAGTTTCTAAAGACACCTAGTAATCGAGCATGTACTGGAAGTCAAAGATGGCCGACGTTAGGAAAAAGTGGAAAGTGGCGCGACAGGTGATGGATCGTGGCATCGTCGTTAACGCGTTCGCGTTGTCGTCGTCTTCGAAGCTAAATCCGTTACGCAGGAAGCAAGCTCGATTATTTCTCGACGTACACACACATATATATATATATAATATATATATGTATACGTAGACACGTAAAGAGGAATCCGCGTAAGAGAGTCGTAGGCACGTAGGCAATACATCCGCCTACGGCGACTATCCGCAACCATGACGCCGGAAAGGATCGCGTTGAATCCCAGTGGCGTGACAGGGCTGCCTACGCGCGGCTGTATCTGCATTGATCAAAGCAGCAATTACTGTCATCGTAATATTACTCGGGACGTTACTCACGTCGCGGGGGCACCGAGAGAAAGAGAGAAGGGGGGTGGGCAGAACTACGACGATAGCAGCGCCACCGAGAGACCGAGCCGCGAAAAAGCTGCTGCTGCGCCAGCACCGCGCGACAATGCCACGTTGGCACCGCACACACCACCACCACCACCACCAACTACTGCTGATCGCAGCGCCAACTTCCAAGCTCGACTTCCTCCAGCCAGCGAGCCAGCCAGCCAGCCAACGTTTAAACGCTACGCCGCGCCGTATGTGTGTAAGCCTTGGGCGTAGACCGGGTAATGATTTCCCGGAATCCGCGTTTGATGTGGCGGGGCGTTATTGGTTTTCTCTGGAAGCACAGCCAATTTTTCACGCAGCTCGTTTCTGACCCCGACAATGATTTGCTGCTGCTGCTGCTGCTTCGCGTTTAAGAGCCGCACGAAACGGCTGCGAACCCGCTATATCCTCTTACATTTTTTTTTTCTCTTTTACTAAAATATAATATAATTGTATACCATGCCACCAGTACCTACGATCATTCTTTTATATTATTCTAATTGTAATTTTGGACGCGTCATAAATTTAAACATTTCTTGACAGATCATTCGTCAAAAGAAATGGTTAGTAACGAACGATTTAGATGACGTATAGGATCTAAATCTATTAGCGATAGATTCGCTGAAAAATGTAATCATTTCGAATATCCACATCTATTGGGGTAGTTCGACGGTGATTTACGATCTGGAAAACATAAATATCGCTTTCTTTCCGAGCTAGTATATGACCGTATAGATTTGGAACGGTTTGTCCAATCTTCTGAAAACTAACCACTCGCCGCTCGTGACTGGACTTTAAGCAGAAATGGCAAAGAATAGATCCAAATGGTAGGTAGGAATGGAACATTGGAAGTATTGCTGATGTTAGATGATAAATTCGATTCGATCGGGATGAAAAGAAGAGGAATACGATAGGGACATATGGTTGGTCAATATACGTCAAAGTATGGTCGGAGTTGCTTTGCTCGTTCAACGTGTGCTTTCATGAAATTCTTGCGGAGTAAGCTTGAAAGCTGCATCTAATAATGGAATAGTCGCACGGGGTCAGATACGTAAAAACACGCCGAAGATTTATGGAGCACCACGCTTCGCTCAGCGTGATGCTCCATGGGATCCCCTGGAAAGCTTAGTCCTCGGTCTGTTCGTCGTCTTAGTTGTCGTCGTTGTCGTCACAGGACGTCAATGGCAGCAACAGCAGCAGCAGCACCAGCAGGTTCTCTCTCAGTATCGGTTACAAACGTGCACTACCGCATGACAGAAATAAATAACGTTACAAAAAGTTCTTTTTTAAAGACGAGATTCATGGTTCGGAACACAGGCAGGGGGTACCAATTGATTTTTTTGACTTTTCGGTTTTTTCCTTTGAACCATAGTTATCCGATATTCGACGGTTCAAATGAGGCAAACAAATGAGAAACGCCCCTTTTTTTTTGATATTTTTTATGCTTAAGCATCGTTTTATCCAATTTTCTTTTGTAGACTACGAATATATGGATTAGGATTTTTAAAGATTTGCTTTCTTCGCATACAAAAGAGGAAAGCAGAAAAAATTGTCTTTTATTTGCATTGCGAGAACTAGACGGAACCTTTCCAATTTGAAGAAAACGATATGTCTACCTATTATTTTAGGACGATATTTTTTGAAGGGAAACAAACATTCTCGAACGCGACCGAAAGAACATATATTTCTTTCTTTGAACGAAAATAATAAATCACAAGGGAGACACTTCTTTCTTACCATTAACATTCGACAAATATTTCTTTCGGGGAAACTTTGAAAAAAAAAAGAAAAAGAAAAAAAAAGGCGAAGCTCTTAATCATCCACGTGAAATGTTTAAATCCTGACGAAAGTAAGATTCTTGTAAGAACGTGTGTTTAAGACGGGAAGCAACAAACAGGTCAGCTCGATGATATCTCCCAATCGACAGCGGCATTACAAGCACGAAACACGAGTTCTCCGAGAGAGTCTTGGACAACTCGCGAGAAACTGGGGATACAAAAAAAAAATTAAAGATTGTCGGCGCGCGCGCACGTAAACGAGCTTGTAAAGTGTACTTCCGCGAGCGGTATATGCCGGAAGGTTGATGTGTGGTGTGTGGTGGTGCGTGCGTCCAGTTCGCGTCAGCTTCTTGAGAAACATTGTCCGGGAGTTATGCGTTGGCAGTGTAAGAAGCACCGAAGAACGAGTGCTTGGATTCTTAAGATTCTAGAAAGGAGCCGAGCTCGGATCTTTCGCGCTTAGAGTAGTAGGTATCCTATGGCGTGGGTTCGCTCATACCTGTGTTCAAGGAAGTCACGAAAATATGTGGGAGGTCTTTATTCCTAAGGTAGGAAGGTAGGAAGGAAGGAAGGAAGGATAGAAGGATAGAAGGATAGAAGGAGGACGATGCCATCGATGTCGCCGACGACGAGGTCGACTAGAAAGAAGAGAAACAAGATAAAACGAATGGGGGGAGGATAAGATGAAGAAAAAGAAGAAATACGGTCCGCGCTTGTAGCCACGGGCATGAAGGGAACAGAGATATGTTCTCTCTCTCTTTCTCTTTATGTATAAAGCGCAGAGAGCTCCATCTATTTTCGCCTCTCCCTGTTCCAAGCAGAAGCGGGATGATTTATGCGAAGCGAGTGCCGCGGCTCCGCGCCGCGGGAGAATTCTCGCTTTCTGCTCTCCACCCAGCCATGTCGCCAGGGTGGCGGACTGTGTCCCGGACTTGTGTCCCGGACTACGTCCCGGACTGTCTCACCCTACGTTGTGTTTCTGAGCGCGCGCGCGCCCGCGACCCTGCCACACACTCTCACTATCTTCGGTTCTCTCTTCTCTCTTTCTTCTTCTTTCTCGGCATAAGAGAGACGATTACGATGCATCTTTCTTAAATGACGTGCGACTACCGACCTTTCCCTCCTTTTTATTTTTTTTCCCATCTTCCTTTCGCACTCTGTCCCTCCTTTCCTTCTTTATTTTTCACCCCCTCCCTACCCCGCCCGCCTTTTTTTCCCCTCTTGCTTTCATAAGCAAGCAAGGGGAAAAGAAACTAATCAAAGAGCAACGGCGTAGTCTTTTGAAAGTTCTACGTCTACAAGGAACGACACCCGGAGGGGTGATATTTGAAAAATATGTTTCCGGATAGGAAGAAATTAATGGTGTTAGATTAATTGGATAATGGTGAAGGGTAATTAGAACGACTCCGATTTTAAGAATTTATTGTCGTTGGGAATGATATTTTGGTCATTTTTTTCATTGCAAAATATTTGTAATACCGAATTCATAAAATACTTCAAATTGTTGGTAAAATTCGTTAACGATTTAGAATAAAAAATATGGCAACGTAGTAAACTTAAAGATTAAAGTAAATGTTGGGTACGCGTGGCGCTTGTATCGTACCTAAGGCTATCTTTGGAAAAGAGAAGAAGCGCTCTAAATTACCTTCGATGAGTAGACCGGTAACAAAGGCACGTGTTTTGCTTCTTCACTCCGGCTCCATTTATCTCCAGGAACACAATGCGCCTCGGATTTGACACATCTATCAGGACACAATGCTTGGCCCAACCCGCCCGATTCTTTACCTTTCTACCCTCCTTCCGCTTCTTCTTCTTCTTCTTCTTCTTCTACTACTATTACTTTTCTCTTCTACTTGCAAGAAAGACCTAGCCTTACCAAGAGAATCATCTTCCTCGAGCCTGAAGGGAAGACCACGAGCGAGTGACTGGGACAGAAATTATGACCGATATCCTTGACAATGTTTCTGCCGTAATTGTCCCTTTTTTTGTCCCCAGTTACCCTCGATCAAGCGGTATCAACGAAATAGTACACTCGAGTAAACCATTTCTCAAAGCAAGTTATAATGACTGATATATAACGTAACAAGTAGTTGCGTGCATATTTCAAAAATTTAATACTTTTTCTATATATATATATATATTATATATTTGGGGAAAAAATAATCCTAACGTTTAATATCATTTTGACGTAGACTTGATTTGAAATAATTTGACTATTTTGAAAAAATCGAAGATTTCGTGTTCTTGATTAGAAATCAAGCATATCTGAATAAATAAGTATTCTATTTTATAGATAAATATATCTTTATAAATCGTAGAGTATTATTTGTTCTAGAACGACGAGGAAAAAAAATAATATGATTAGAATGAGTAAAACGATTTTATCGAGAGACATCGACGACTATTATAACGATGTTGTCGTCGTGGTAACTTTATCGAAAGGGTAGATGTAAAGATACCAACAGGGGAAGGTTCGTAAATTAACGGTAGTTCGGGTCAAAGCAAGCCGCTAAGCCGGTGAATCGTCATTATCGCGCTCACGAGTGGTGACGCTGATAGATGCCGTCTCTAAATGATGATGGATGGCTCGTATAACTGTCGCAATATACAGCTACCCGACGTGCTTCGTATCTTGATTTACTATCCGTTCTTTCGCCATTTTGCAATTCCCCATACGCAAAAGTACCTACGTCTGCCACTGTCATTATCGTCGTTCGCTTCTTTCTTAATTAACTGCGACCTGTCACGGGAAGGCGGAGTTACAAAAGGAAAGAGGATGAATGTACGTGTACATATATATGCACTTACGTGTGTATACGTTAAAGAAAACGAAAAGAAAAGGAAAAGAAAGAAAAATATGCAAGAAACACGACGGCAATGACGTCGTATCCGATAAAATAAAAAAATCACCAAGATAAAGTTGGACTCTAAGAGGCAGGCAAGCAGGCAAGCTGGCAGGCAAGCAGGCAGGCAGACGTTACGTCGTTTCTTGTCCCTTTTCTCGCGACTTAAAAGAAGGTAACGCGTCATTTCCGCGCGAGAATGTTTCACCAACGCGTTGATCGCTAAATATCCTACCCCTACATCCCTACGAAAATAGTTTCGTTTACGTTAATTCATTCAAACAGATATATTTATTTGGATCTCATTAAAAACGAAAATGGTCTGATCGTTTTTAAATTTAAACGAATGAACCCAGGGATCCTCGAATTCGTCGACGAAACTAAACGAAACGAAACGCGACGACAATTATAATGACGAAAAATTTATCCGAATGAAGACGTTCCGAAGGATGGTGGTGGTGGTGGGGGAGGGTTAGGGGAACTCGTGAGAAATGAATGAAGTCTAAAGTCGTTTCGAGAATGAGAAATCGCGCGAATTCAAGATTTCACGAGGATATTTTGTTCGTTTTATCGGCATCTCGGCAAGAGATGGCAAGAGATCTCGTCGTCCCGGAAAGATGTATCGACGCGATCCGTTCCCGGATAAGCTTTCGAAGAAAGCGAAAGAGAAAGAAAGAAAGAAAGAAAAAAAGGGGGAAAAAAAATCAAAGGAGAGAACGGTAGATAGAGAGTTGTTCGACGCGCAAACGTCGTAGGGTGGTAGGAGGAGGAGGTGGGGGGTTTGTAATAAACGAGAGCTTTTTAGTCGAAACGGCTTTGAGGGATCGAGCTGATTCGCGTATCGCGTGCAGATGCTTCCCCTTTCCCCCGTTTCCTCCCTCCTTCTGCCCATCTCTGTTCCTCACTTGTATTCCTCTTTCCTCCCTTCCTCTTTCTCTGTTAGTCTCACATATCGGTCCCTTTTCGTTTACCACGCTCCAACCACGAAACATCATTCATCATTCTGATGCATAGGCTTCCATAACACTCGACGGCGACTGGTCAGGCAGGCAGGCAGGCGACCGTGCCAACCCGCAGATATTTCCTTCTCGTGGCTGCTAAATTAACGCCTCGTCATTAGCAGCTTGCCGGTTCGAACCGATCCGCCCAAACTTCGTCCCACGCTTTTTCTCGTACTACCTTAACTCTCTTCCTAACCCCTCGTGTTCTCTCATTTCCTCTTCTTCTTATTATTATTCTTATTTTTATTCTTATTCTTATTCTTTTTCCTTTTCTTTTTCTATTTATTTGTTTATCTATATCATACTTTATAGTCATACTCTCTTTTATTATAATCCGACTGGAAGTCTAAAGAATAATTGTTTCAAGGAAAGCAGCTTTTACGACTTTATCGCTTTTCCGAGAACATGATTTCTTTTTCCTTTTTTTTTTTTTACATTTTGCAGTACCAAGAAAAATCATTTCTATCCGTTTGTTATCCTTAAACGAGCGGGAAACACTTATATAACAGGAAATAATACGCTCGGTTGAAACTCATTTACGCGAATGTCTTTTCTACTTATTATCCGAAAGAATTAATAGATTGTAATAAAAATATTAATGGCAATTTTTACAGACTTGTTTCTTCATAAAGGGAACGTAAGGTATCGTCGTGTTAACATTTTATTTTTTATTTTTATTAATACGAATATAACAAAGTTAATATTAAAATTGAAAGATTTTGGGGACAAATTTTTGGTTCTTTTTATTGAAGTAAATGGATCGTATGATCGTCTAGCATATGAGAAATGCCATAAAAATCGTAATTCATGCATATGTTCCCTCGTTCGTTCGTTTACTGGTATTTGTGAGGGTAGGTAGTTGGTCTTTTCCGATTTATCGGTCGCAATAATTTACGAAGAGAAGGCAACTAAGCAGACAATGTAACAGTCCAGTGATCGATCGTACCGCAGTGATACGTCGTCGTGGGATTAGCTGAGACGTCAAAATGGACTTACCGGGTACTTATCTCTTCACCCTGAAACTCAAGGATTACACTGGAAAAGAATATAAATGAGAATGTTACCTCCTCTCCTTTCTTTCCACCGTGTGCTTTCTCTTATCTGACGCGGTTATTTTTCTTCGAGCACACCAGGAAAGATGCATCGTCGAGGATTCCCGTCATAAAGAACAGGCCGATTACGAATCTCGACGCGTCGTCGCATCCACGACAAGGTTTAACAGCCGGAACGGACTTCGAACGACTATGTAAAATCGAGCCTGGATCTGGATATGATGCTCACGAGGAAACTAAAGAAACAAAATATATAAATTAAACGAAAAAAAACTTCGTCCCTCTTATTGCATTCGTTTACACTTGATCTATGATATCAACAACAAAAATATATCTACCAATAAAATGATCGATTTTTTAACTTATAATTTTACAACAATTTGTATTTAGTTTTGAACGAAAAAGAAAAAACACAGTTCGAGATGAAAATCAATTGAAAAATCGAAACTTGAATGAATTGAGAAAATTGGAAAGTATCTAACTAATATATTAAAAGGGTAAAGGAAACATCGAAAAGATAGATTTCACTCGCTAATGATTGTCGACGGTTCGGCAGCAAGAGATTAACATCAACATCATTCACCTCCTTTGTTTTTTACTCGCAATCGATAGAAATTTTCGACGAGAGAAAGCGGATTCGGTAATATAGTCTTGGAAGGAACGTTAAAGTACATACAGACCACCACTACCGATCGATAGCGGATCGATAGCCTATCGATAGTCGATCGATCTCAAGAATCGATCTCGGGAAACGAAAGGGGTTACGTTTGGAAAGCCTTGACCTTTGATTTTCTATCGAGCCGCTTTAACGTCAATCGGTTGGCAAGAGACCGAAGGAGTAAGCAAGCAAGCAAGCAAGCAAGCAAAGCAAAGCAAAGCAAAGCAAACGCTCGTGCGTTCTCTGGCTGTCCTGATCGGATGCTCACCCGTCCGTCCGTCCGTCCAGTCCGTCCCGTCCTGTCCGTTCGTTCAGATTGGAATCTGGTTGGGGCTTAATGACGGCTCGAGACGGACAGGTATCGAAGCGGCAGCAACAGCACAAGCCGGTGCAGGAGTTCTCTAGCAAAGGAAAGAGAGAGAGAGAGAGAGAGGGAAAGAGAGAAAGAGGGAGAAAGAGGGAGGGAGACGTGTCACATCAACGGTGCCGCGAGATCTACGGCCGCGGTTTTACCGAGCGAGGACAGGCGATGAATTCTTTTCGTTTTGGTACCTCCTTCTCTTCTTCCTGTTCTTCCTTCCTTCTACCAACTGTCTCGATCTGTTTCCGGATAACGACCAATGCTGATTCGCGACCTAACAAAGGTCTTTACGTTAAACGAAATCAAACAAGAGATCTTTGAAATTATTCGAAGTTTGATTATTTTTTAAAACCCCCCCCCCCCCCCGACCCTTTTCCAAGTCAAGATTTTTTTCTTACATACTTAGAGAAAATTAAGGGGAAATATTTATTTATTTATTAAAGAAATGTACTTTGTCTATTACGTAGAGGAGGGCTGAGAAAATTCAGAGCATACAATTAAGAGTGGGTGCAAATTTTTTGGTGTCAAAATTTTGTTCTTCTAACTTAAGAAAAAATAAATCAGAAGTATGACTTATTTATTAACGCAAGTGATGAACCGATATTCTACGAAACTAGTAAAATACGATGTCATTGCTAAGCTTAGAATTTCTTTAAATAGTGTACGAGTTTGTAACGTAATTCAAACGTCGAGCGGACGATAAAATTCGTGTAAACGTTGCTACTTTCAACGAGTCTGTTAAATAGCGCCGCTGACAAAATTACTTAAGGCTTAAATGATTCTCTCAACGCGTCGCGAGGTAGACAGAGAGACGGAGAGAGATAGAGAGAGAAAGAGAGAGATCGTATTACCTTTTTTGTAACTACGGACATTGTAGAATGTTGCAAGAAACAGATTGGAGAGTGTGTGAATGAGAAAGAAAAAGAAAGAGAGAGAGGTAAAGGCGATAAAATCATTAGACAAGCTCGATACCTAGCACCTACCGGTGCTTTTCTATTTATGCACGATGAGAGAGAGAGAGAGAGAGAGAGAGAGTAAGAAAGAAGAAGAAGAAAGGAAGGGTGGGAGAAGGGATGGTGGTATCTACGTCAATCCGTTTGCCTTAGACTTTACTCTTTCTACGAAACACGCGTTGGTAAGGACTCGTAAAGAAAGAGAAAGAAAGAGAGAGAGAGTCAGAATTCTTCCAAAGGCGCGAGACAAAGAAGAGAAATAGAAAGAGGAAGAGAAAGGGGGTAAAGAAAGAAGAAGTAAAGAAGAAGAAGAAGAAGGTGGATTGAGAAGGGGGAATAATATTTATTATCGTCCGTTAGGGAAGGGACTGAACGGACTGAGCGTTGTGTGTATACGCGTATATAAATTAACGAGACGCGTAGACGGCGCGGGCAATAGATAGCGGCCTTAAATAGTAAATAGAGAATTCCAGTAGCCAGACGGGAGGTAGAATGGATCAAAGGGCGCCGACTTACGTTAGAAACTCTCCAACCAAAGGCACAGAACCCTCTCTTCTTTCTCTTTTATAGGATAGAATGAAAAAGAGAAAGAGAAAGAGAAACGGAAAAGAGAAAGAGAAGAGTTTCGGAGGAAAGAAGAAGAGGTAGGTAATAGATTGCCTCTTTCTGACTTTTATCGTAGCAGAAAAAGCTTGTCAGATCCAACGTTCTGGAGTCCCGCGCTCTTTATTACGCGCGCTATGTGCTGTATAGAGGCGTTTCTCGTTCGTACAATCCGAGTGGTAGTCGTCGCGTGTACTAAAGTATGACAAATAAAAAGAAAAAGAAAAAGAAAAAGAAGAAGAAAAATCGTCCCGGAAAAAGGGGCTTCCACGTAAAATGAGTTACGGAAATACTTGGACCGTTGAAACATCCCACGGACTATCGCTGACTGATTTTAGAAAAAGTTTCTCTGTCGTATAATATAAGTTGGATACTCGTCAAGGAAAGGAAAACTCGTGGACCCCTTTTCTAGTTTCTAGTTTGTTACGAATTTTTATTATATCGTTAGTACTGACGCATACGTGTGTCATGGTTGTTTCTCTTTCTTTCCTTTTTCTTTTTTTTTTAGATTCTTCCACTTTGCGAAATATCAGTTAATTTCTATCAAATACTAGCACACTACCGGCGATCATGATCTTTCGAAATGAGTTTTGTCGATTAGAGAGTAGTAAGTAAGGTAGAATTTTGTACCTTTCTATCCCGACTAGAGAATCTAATTAACGTCAATCGTAGTCTGTCATTAAGTTGGGATCAATGAACGATATACGCGGTAGCTATCTTCTAAAATCCTCGCCTATGCGATTTCCATAGATCGCTCATTATCATTCTAAACGTCTCGTCATTCCGTCGTCGGTACTCGTTGTCGGTTCCCGTCTCGTTGTCTCGGTGGATGAGCGAAATCGTGAAGGGCTAGGAAGATAAAAGGGGACCCGACGAAGGCATCCTCTCGAGCGTCTTCTTGAAGCCTTCATGGGGCCCCGAACGGGAACAATCGGTTGATTGCTGACCGTTGGACGTCAGCGAAACGGAGATTTCAAGATATTCCATAAATGTAAGATCTTGGAGAATGACCGGAGGAGCCTTGGCTTGGCACAGGAAAGAAAGGAATAACAAGAAGAAGAAGAAGAAGAAGTAGGAGAAGGGAGTGGGAAAGGGAAAGAGATAGAGAACGAGCACGTAGCACGAGAGGGCCATCAATCCTCGCGGGACGTAGACGAACAGCCGTGGTCCACGGCAAAGCTGCCGACATCAGTCGTCGTCGTCGTCGTCGTCTTCGTCCTCGTCGTCTTCGTTGTCTTCTTCTCTGTCCTTCGTAATGCGTAAGAGAAGGGAAGAAAGACGCGTAGACGCGCCGGTAGAAGCCGCTACTTAGCAAGCAGGCATGTGTCTTAAAACCCGATGGAGTCTGGGTTTCGTTCCCCTCCTCGAAGGATATCAAAGGGCCGCGCCTCCTTTGGAATTCACCAGTTGTTAACATTTAACAGTGATGCCTCTCCGCAATTTTTGTCGCGCATCGCTGACATTTCTCCATGAATGCTTCTTTCCCTCCCCCCTTTCCCCATCCCCTTTCCGCTCTCTTATGCTAGCGGGCCTCCCGAGCTCCTAACGAAACGATTTAAATCAACGTAAACCGTCGGGTAAGACTCGCTACTATCTCTTTCTCATTCATTTTTCTTAACTTTACTTTCCTGACTTTTGTATTCCAGTTACATTCATCACATTAGCAAATTTTTCATCGCGTTCCTCTCTCTCTCTCTTTGTCTCTCTTTGTTTTTCTCACGTTGCATATTATTTCTTTACGACTTTAACAAGTCGTCCTCAATTTGTATCGTCTTTTAAAGAGAATAAAAGTTTTCGAACGAATAGAAAAGAAACTCGGTAAAATAAGAGGGAGATCCTTTTTTTGTTTCGTTTGTGTTAATCGTCTTTCTAGAAAATTCATAATCACTTTTACCCGTATATTTTCTTTTTCTTTCCTTTTTTTTCTGTCGACCACAGTGATAAATATTCGAAGAGGGGTACAGCAGATCGACGTACGCGGAATGGGATGTTAAAGCGGGAAAGATTTAGCGCCTTTAAAATTACGAACCATTCCCTGGGGGGGTCGTCGGTAACTAGAACCGAGAGACTCGTCCGTCTCGGGATGGAGGTAAAACGCAAGGAGGAAAAGGTTACAGGGGTAACTTGTGAATCCTCTGGCTCTCGTAACGTTTTCGCGAAGACAAGCAGGAGTTGCAGAGGTGGACCCGACGTCTTTACGACGAGTATTCGTCTCTATAAAACTGTCTCGCACTCTTCCCGCGTATTCTCTCTCTTCCCTTTATTCGCCAAACTCCGACGAAGACTACACAAACGACTATACACAACTGTGATACAATGTCGGACGCGGAAAGGAGGAAAAGCGCGAGTGTTGTACGTATTCTTCTCTTCTTGACGTCTTCTCTACCAGAAACGAGAAGAAAGGACAATGGGCGGGTGGTGGTACATACATATGTTACCGGAAACCAAGAATTATAAACTTTATTTTGACAATTTATCTTACAAAGGTTGACGTACTTACGACTACGTTCCTTATCCGATCTACGTAATATATCTTCATTTTCGAGATTTTCTTACCAAGATTCAACCTATTCGTAAGATTCATTCTAAAATAATCAATCATGAGATTCAATCTTTTTTCTTGGCTTTAAACATTACACGATGGGTTATATAAATCGAATATATAGGGTGTATCTAAATAGCGAGTACACAATCGAGCTAGGAGGTAATTCTACGTAGTTATTTCTTTTAATTAATTATTTTTCTCGTGTTCGCGATGACATTTTTTATTTTGTTTCCCTAAGAGATACGATTCTTTTAAAAATTTTTCTCTTTAACTTAACGTCGAGAGTGTTAAAAACGTTATGTCTCTAAAAACTAGAGAACTAAAAAGCATCTAGTAGTTTAGCGAGTAGACGAGGACGTTTGAAATTCTTTCGTCGTAAGTTTTACGGTTTTAGTAAGAGATTTACGAGTTTCGGCCGCGATGTGACCACTAGTCCTTTAACATCATTAGCGAGTGGAAGTTTTTTTGAAACTGCTGCGAAGGTTCTCTCTTACTCTCGCTTCTGAAGGACCTGTACCGGATCCATCCTTTCTGTCAACCGAGAAGAATCGTTGGCGAGACCATTCGTGAGATGCTCTCGTGCGCATGCCACCACGGTATGCGAGTTCTCGGTTAAGTTCGGATATAAGACAAGCGCGTTAGAAAAAGTTTAATCGGCTTCCCAATGACACGGAACATGTCTTCGAAGGGATAGAAGGAAGGACCGGTGTATCCGGTTCGCCGAGAGTACGGCGTCGTTTCTCGTCGGAAGAATACTAGAGCGTCGTTATTTCTCGTTCAACTTCGTTCAACAAGAATTTACAGAAAATTGCTACTTATGTATCAAGATATATCACTTGTTTCTTATGTTTTTTATTAGATTTCAAAATCTACTATTTGTGGGATTAATATCTATCAAATTATCTTTTTTCAATAATTTACAATGAAATACTTATTTTGTCTTTTTAAACGCCCATTTATATATATATGTGTGTAATAAAGCTTAGAAATAGGTTGAGAAACATCTCTTAATGTCTTTTTGTACTTTCGTGGAAAGGACGTTACTATCGTAAATTACTAACGTTGGAGAATAGAAGCAGCTGTTTGACCACGACCAGTCGTTTTGATTTATTACGTGTTGATGGAGTTGGACTAATAAAAGACGACAGTTCTGTTTTTAACTTAGGAGGAACGTTTTGTGATATGCTTTTTTTTAAACCTCTATTCGTTATATACATATATATATGTATACACACACATTCGCGCGTATATGTGTATATAATGCATATAATATATCTGTTTTCGGTCGTAAAAACTATTACGGTAATGAATGCAGGATTTAAGTTGTAATTTACGGTTTTTATTTTGAAAGTATAATAAAAAGCATTTATGTGTTTTAGTCAATCTTAAATTAAAGTTGAAAATTCATGACTAACTGGGAGACAAGATTAGCATACCAGTTTATTTCAGTTCAATTGAAAGAACATATACCATGACCATCTAACATTTAACATTTTATTCGTACAAAGAAATATACATATTATAATAAATATGATCGTGTGTTCGAAATTTTAATATTGATTTGCAATGATGTTCAAATCGTTTATTTCGATGACGATTGTGTTCTTAATAAAAAGAATTAATATTTGTCATATAAATTGTGAATATTACGTATAACTTATTGTCTCGTTGTTCCATAAATTTTCTAGTTCGAGCAGTTATTTTCCTAAATCTTTTGAGTGAGTTATTATTTTTAACGACTATCGCGGGATATATAAAAATATTCTGTTATTTTGTTTCGATATTCTTCCTCTTGCTTGTCACGATAATCGATTAAAAATAAAAAAAATACATATGAATGATTTAATCTTAATCCGTCGACATTTCGTTTCTCAGTTATTTTCCTATTCATTTTTATTCTCTTTCTCTGCTTTTATTTTTCTTTTTCGTAAAGCCGTATTTAATACTTGGCCAACGATGATATATGTTTCGTGGACGTCTTTAAAGTTTAAAGGCATCGTAAATCGTTTGGAAGCTTATCGGACTTCGAGGATACGTTCCCAGCTGGACATAGAAACGCTGTTAGAGTGTTAGCCTATTCTATTATCAATGGTGACTTCAACGCCGATATGCGATTGGTATCTTCATCGCTCGTGTATTTTTTGCGTTCGTAATGACCAACCTATTTCACGTTTACGAGCACGCGTGAATTCGTGATGAACGAAAATAAAAATAATGGTTAGAGAGAAAAAAGAACGGAAAAAGGGTGACAGATAGACGGAGAATTGGAGAATAAGAGAGATAGAGAAGAGACAGCGTAAGAAAGAAAAGAGAGGGTAGAAAAAGAAATAATTGAACGAACAGTTAGAAAGAGAGAGAAATGTTTGCGTGACAGATAAACCTAAAAACCGGAAGGATATTAATCATGCGCTCGTTTTCACCTCTTCCAGACACGACTTATTTGTGGTCAGTTTTCATTCCTTAGTATGAAAGACTAGAATTTCACCTTTCTCAATGCAGTTCTTGGATAAGACTGCACCGATATTTCATTCCTCGTCGATTTCAAACGACGTCGTATAAATTGTCTTTGAAAAAAAAAAAAGAAAACAAATTTCCGGATCGTCGAGTTATTTTTCGAATTTTTATCAATGACGTTAAGTAAATACGATCCTGCTTTTTCATGAATGATCGATCAAAAATATTAAAATATATTAAAGGTTGGCCGAGTTTATATAACCAGTCTTGAAAAAGAAATTTATAGGACAGTATCCTTTATACAAATATGATTTTATTAGTGAAACGACAAAATATCGATCTTAATTAAAATCATGTTCTATAAGTCTGTTAATAGTTACAGTTACGTTTTAATTAGGCTAACAGGATTATGCATAATACGATATGGGTCGTTATATTCCGTGCTTATGATATGATACGAGATATGCAGGAAACAGGAAGAAATAAAACATACAGTACCAACATTATAATCAACTCGTATAGCTAAAACCTCTTGGACAAAGATACGATCGGATATTTGCATAAATGAAGATGTATATCTCATTTGATCGTATAGCTAGAAAACTAGGAACCCAAATAGGAAAGTATGAAAAAGTTTCTTCTCTCGTGATGCAGTAATGAAAAAAAATAAAACGACAATGTTGTTAATCGCAAATGGTAACAAGAAATATTAAGACATAGGCCTAGACTGTCCCTTTGTATCGTCGCGCGAAGTACCTACGTAAAAGTAAAAGGTTGCAGTCTTTCAAACTGCGAAAGACTCGGAAAGAGAAAAAGAAAGAGAGAGAGAGAGAGAGAGAGAGAAAGAAAGAAAGAAAGAAAGAAAGAAAGAAAGAAAGAAAGAAAGAAAGAGAGTCCGCACCTCGTCGTCCGCACGTTGTCGTCCGCACGTCGGCTGCACGTCGCGCGCGCTAAATATAAAAGCACGGGGCTCGCGGGCACGCACCGACAGCGGCAGCAGCAGCAGCAGCAGCAACAGAAACAGCAGCACCACCAGCACCAGCAGCACCGCCTAGCGTTCCGTGCCTACGCCATCTTGCATGGAAGAGTCATTTGCGTTGGCCCGGCCCACAGAGGGCAGCCTGGCTCCGCCTCCGGTTGCCCGCTTCTACATAAGCAGAACCATCTTTATTACCCGCAGGCACTAACCGTAAAGGAATCGGAGACTTGCTCTCTTGCGAGAGAGGGCGAAAGAGGAAAAGGGAGGAAGAAAGAGATAGATGGATAGTGCGGGTTGCCGGAGCGGGTGGGGAGGGGGCAAAAGCGGAGAAAGACAGATGGAGAGAGAGAGAGAGAGGGKGAGAGGGAGAGGGAAGGGTTGAAAGAAGGGAGAGAGAGAGAGAGAGAGAACTGGACCGGTCTTACACACAGAGGCGCCGCACTTCGTGTAGAGAGACGAAGAGTACGAAAAGGGGGACACACAGTACGTTTCTCCTGTTCGTGTTTCTTCGAGATCGACCGCTCGTTTCGGGGATCGGCCGAAGAATTATGGTATAAAGTGGTAGGGCATGACGGTGCCGTAGGCATAGTTTGTCTTTATAACGTCTGCGTGGCCGCGGCGGAACATCAAACGAGCCGCTGATGGCTCAAAGTGCCTGACCGGGATATAAATCCACGGCCCACCTCGGCTCGTCCGCCCAGGACGAGTCTCTCTTTCTCTCTCTCTCTCTCTCCCTCTCTCTCCCTTTCTACTTCTCCTTATTCTCTTCGTGCACTTTTTCTACTCTTTTTCCTTCCACTCCTTTATTTCACCCCTCCACACCCGCCTTCTTTCCATCTACCGGGCTCCTCATCCCCCTCCCGCCCACCTATATCCTCGTCGTCGCAACTCTTTACGAGGGAACACACGCTTGTCCTTTCTTTCCTGCCCTTCGCCACGGATATCCCGATCCTTCCGTTCTGCTTTAACGCTTTCCGCCACCCCAGTGTTTTCGATCTTCGTGCTTCTCATCACGAAATCTTGTGAAACTTCGGTCTATGTCTTCTTCAATGCCGCTGTGTTTTGTTTAGTGACTATTTCTTACACAAATTAGTGAGATCAAAGAGTTACGATGAGGGTTTTACTTTGCTTAAATTAGTGACTTTCCAATGGTGACAATCATTCATAGATAATATATAGGACTTGTTAAGATTTTGGTGTCGGCGAAATATGATCGATAATTTGTTTTTTTATTTAAAAAAAAAAAAAAACAAACAAACAAATGAAACAATATAAAAAAATATTCACTTTGTTAATTAGAGATTTTAGATAAAAAAAAAAAATATTTATCCCGATAGATTCACGTGAAGAGAACTTAATGCAGAGATAAGAGGGTGGAGGTCGTCGCAAAGTGACGTCAGTTATCAAAAGGGCGCGGTGTTAGAAGGACACGCGGTAGTTTTGTCGCGGAAGATATCGGACAAATGGGGTTGTTCCGTAGACAGGCGGGTTATCTCGGTCGGCCGTCGAGTAGCCACCCTACTAAATCACTCGGTTCGAGTCCACGACCTCTGCCGCCGTTATCCCTAACAACCTTTATAGCCAGAGAGCTTTGATGTAGTCCCGTACTACTTTCTTTCTAACCTTTCAAAAGTCGCTCAGTATAATTGATGTTCATCGCTTATATTAGGTGCTACGAACGAATTATTACTTTTCCTTTATTTTTCCCATTTCATTAGCGCGTATACAAATTGACATATCGATTGAAATACGCGAGAAGCGTGAACATTTCAATGTAGATCACGTTTTTAAATAAGACACACGACAAAAATAAAGATATACTTTACAAAAATATTTATATAGAAATGTATTTATTTTTCATTCAATAGATTCAAAATTGTTAAAGAAAAAAGATAGCAGAATCTTAACAATATTTTATATAAAGAATAATATAATTTATAAATATCGTATATATCATACGATAGAACGACTGAATTTTAATCCAACATAATATGTAGTATTTTTTTTTTCAATATAACCAATGAATACTTTACTAGATCCCTTTTTCCCCAAAAAACGTAAACTTCCTAAGAGGTCTTGACAGTGAAAGCACACGTTGAACGAAACGTAGAACAGTTTGTAAATAAATTCGCAACGCTTTTCTACGTTGAAGAAGAGCCAAAACGGAAATGATAGGAGGTATAGAAAGAGAGAGAGAGAGAAAATGTAAAAAATCGAGAAAGAAAAAGCGGGACGTATAGCTGTGGTCGATCGTGACGAGAAGGTTAAGGGACGAAAGGCGAATGGCGAAATAAAAAGGGGGGAAAGTCTTTGGTCGTAGGGAAAGAAAGACGGGGAGGGGAAATACACGATGTTTCCGTAGCGGAACTGGCTTGTTTACCGGCACAGACACTATTGGCTTCTCATTCGAGTCTCGGAATTGCGAGCGCGCTCACATTCACTGAGCATAAAGGCACAGGGATATTGCTTCCCTTTGTGCACGCGCGAACGCCGTTTCCTTAATTTATTTATCTTTGTCAGCGGGCGGCGGCTGCTGCTGTTGCTGCTGCAGCCTCACGCCACACACATACGCACACACACAGCCAGATACGCAGCACGCACACTTTCTCTCTCTCTTATCCTTACATTATTCCTACCATTGGATGGTTTACGTTGAGCCAAGCTGATTCCGAGCCTTTGAGAATTGACTTCGACTCGCCGCCAGCGTCGACCCTCACAAAACACAAATTCTTCCCTTCAAATGCTTTCTCTCTGTCTCTCTCTCTCTCTCTTTTTCTGAAGTCTTTCTTATAATTCTGAACGACGTTCGCGCCAGAATTCATTTCGACGTCGATCGTTAACACGGCCATTGAAAGAAATTATTTTGGCAGCTGGTTTTACGTGATTCACACACAATGTCTAGTATGATTGGATTTCGAGAAAATTAAATTTCGTTTATCATTTATCTTTCATTTGTCATGCCGAAAGAACAGATGTTAAGCATTGAATCGTGCTAAGCTTTAATATACAAATCTCGACTCCGTATATATAATATATTCCAGACAGATCAAACGAATTTCTTATTACGAATGATAAGTCACTATCATTTATACGTTTTGAACAATTATTGTCCTAGCAGATATTCTTGATAATATATCCAAGTATATCAAAGAACGACAGCTTTGTTCGTGTCAGACGTAAAACTACTGTATATCGAATAATCGATCTTTCAACGGAACATTCAACATACCCCTTACGGTATTCTATTCTTTGCAACCCTTCTAGACTCTCATATTTATCAAACGCACGTTGGAGTACCAAAAAAGAGAGCTGCTGCACGTTGACGGAAACGCTTATTGCGTCCACAAACAGCTTCGTCACCGGGGTAGAAATTAATCAACTAGAAGGACGGGACCGAGATTATCAGCTTTCGCTTCAACACTGCGGTTTTGTCCGGCCGAGATCCCTGAAGGCCGAGATCTCTGCCAGTCTCTCCCTCGCTGGCATTAGGAAGTTGGATGGCGTTGGCTGAGCTAGAATGGATTGTTGCCCTCGGGGGTGTAGGTGGATAGGAACGAATTGAGAAAGGGTGGGTTTCTCTATCTATCTATCTATCTATCTCTCTCTCTCTCTCTCTCTTTCTCTCGTTCGCTCTTTCATTCCCTTATTCGTTCCCTCACGTTGTCCGCCTTACTTTTATCCTGCCTAGCTCGTAAAGCGATCGAGCGTTTATTCGCCATACTACCGAGGACAAAGTGGCCTGCGCTCCCTGTCGACTGCCGCTATTTGTCTCCCAAAGAGGAAATCTAAAACTGTGACTATCCTTTTTCGGTATAACGCAAACACTATGAATGATAAACGGGATTCACGAGGAGCAGTTTAATAAGATGATTTGTACCGTCGGGGCGTCAAGGCATTTCTAGATTTTTAACAGACATTCGATCATTCGGTGTGTTGTCGGAGTTCAACGAGAGTCATCAATCTTTGAGAAATATTATTTCGAAAAGATGTTCGGGCATCTGACGTAATTAATTATTTGTAATTTAAGTCTTATCGTCAATTAGTTAAATGAACGATATGAAAGGGATATTGAATGATGCCATAAAGGCGTCACTTAAATAGATTTGAAGTATCGTCTCTACTAGGGGGTTTTAAGTTGCGAAGGATCAACGGTAGGAAAGGTGATCGTTTCGTTCGACGTTCGAATCGATCGATGGTAGTGACTAATCGCGAGTCGGAACCGCTCTTCATCCTCAAGGCGGACAAGGAGACGAACGAAGCACCTCTAATTGCCGGTATCACTCTGGCGCACTTCTTCGCGGGCATTTATCACCGAGGATGTACCTACTGGCGAAAGTCGAAAGAAGACGAAGAAGAAGAAGAAGCAGGAGGATCGGAGAAGAATGAGGAGGACGAGGACGAGGACGAGGACGAGAAGAAAAGTAGGAGGAGGAGGAGGAGTCGACGGTTCGGCTTTCGAATCTCTCTTTCTCTCGGGTCGTGTTGCTCTCCTGCTCGGTTGCTTGGTTGCTTGCTCACTCGCTCTCCCTGGCAAGCTGGATTGGTATCGGAGCGATATATCTCGGGATTGGCTTCGCAGTGGCGGATAGTCCGCATCGAAGCAACGATAGGGGAAAGGGGTGCCACCTTGATAAACGAGCTCATAAATAACGGTAACGTCTCCACCGAAAACTCGGCCGGGTAAATGTATATCCGGGCCCCGGGAGAGGTGTAGCGGAACGCACGGAACACCGAGAGAGAAACAGGGGCGTGCTCGTTTGTGCGCGCGCAACTCGCGCGAGATGGTGGCGCCGCGCGGCGGCGAATAACGTAGACCGAGCTCCTTCGTAAGCTCTCTAACGGAGAGCGCGGCTAATTTAAGATCCTATTGAGATATTTATGGGATCATAAAGCGGAACTGGCTGCTTCTATCGCCGGCAGCCATGCATGAGTCGCGCGCGACCCACAGCCAAGCGGTAGTTTGTATCTTTGTTTATAACCGACGTACCAACGACCAAGTCCGAGACCCATCCAAAGAGCGCGTACGCTTTATTTCGGTACGCTCGATCAAATAAGTCCGAGCCGCCAACGAGGATGCGCTCGGCCCGAATTTATTGGCTCGCGCGGAACTTAAATCGCGTGGGCAGTAGCATCCAACGCATCTCTTTACCTCTACCATTCTTCTTGAC